TCACAACGGTCACTCTAGGAAGAAACTAAATATGCAGTATTCAAAGAGATTTTACTGAGGACCTCTAAAGTCTGATTGCTAAAACTTCGCTTTCGCTTTTTTCCAAAAGCATGATGGCTCAGATAAGGAAAAAAGATTTGCGTCCCAAGAACCGATCACTCGCAGAAAGTAGCTACAACTAGTTAATTTCTTTGCATCAAATTTCAAAAATGTTGAAGGCAACTTTAAAAGGCTTCAAAGCACCAATTCTATTATAATATAATTCAACATTCACCGGAAAATTTGAAATTAATGAAGGATAGCTTTGCTAACTTACAGTAAGTTCCTGATCCACAGTAATCAAATATGCGACTAGCACAGAACCAGCTGTCATTCCCAGTCCGATCAATCCATTCTGCAAGAAATTCAGTAGCGCTAAAGATGCATTTGAACGCCATTCAGCAAGCTGGAAGCTGCAAATTGAATTTTTCCATAAAAATCAAATGGAGATAAATGCTTCACTTACCACTCAATCGCGTAGCGGAATCTGTCCACTTCGAACTTTTCATTCCCATAGTATTTTACAGTTTCGTAGTTGAGCAAAGAATCAGTGGCGATAGCGCTGCTCGCGTTTTCCTTTTCATTCATATCTCGACGGAACTTCGTGCGCCACTCCGTTACATATATTGTGATAACTAAGATATTTGATATATTAAAGATATAAAGTCAAGAAGTAAATAGAAATTACGTTAAAGATAACAGGTACTCTAAGAGAACAGCAGAAGCCGCGAATTTACAGATAGCGAGTACAAAAAATATATAAAGGGAATAATTATGGCATTTCTAAATCTAGAAATGTCCCTTTCTGTTTTCTTTTGATTTTTTTCAGCCAATCGAGTGCAAATTTGAAAGAACATAGCAAAACACACATGATTGTTAAGTCGATATTTTGAATGAAATAAAGGTCGCCAAAAATACAAAAATGAAGCTAAAAGATAAGATTTGAGGGAAACGGAAGAATAAGGGATTTCTGAAACAACAGATCTGAATAACCGACCTAAGTACAGCACCATCGTCACTAATACTATTCCTCCAAAGTAGAAATTGAAGGTTGAAAAGAAAAATACCACAGCGATAACAATGTCCGTTATAGTCGGAACAATGTTGAATAATATGTAACTAAAGATAAGACAAGTTGCAAATTTTTAATTTTTACTTCTTCTGATTCAAGTTCAATTCAAAGGTCTTACTCACTTCAGTATGCTGTTCACCGAACTAGTACCTCTATCCATGACACGTAGTACAAGACCAGTTTTTCGAGATAAATGCCATCTAAGAGACAATGAGTGCAGATGTGCGAAAAGCTCCACCTAAACAGAACATGTATACTTAAAGAAGGAAAAAGAGAAATTCAGCAAACCTCTAATTCTCGAGTTGTGTACTGTTGTACAGGAATCCATATATAAGAGCGCATTGTGTTGAGAAAACCTCCCATTGCTTAAAATGACAATATTAATTATTAAGTGAAAGTTTCAATCAGCCAAAGCTACCTCCATTGCCCTGTAAGAACTTCAAGAAAGTGGAAATATAGATGAGCGAGTAATGGAACGTCTCTGG